CCCCTTCCCCAACAGATCGCTGTCACCAAATACAAAGACATAGAAGACGCCAGCTCGTCCATCTACGCTCAGGGCGACCCCTACGACCCTGTGCTGGACTTTGCTCGCTTCCTGGAAGACAACGACACGATCGTGGACACGGACCTCATCTTTTGGCTCACCTCCGGCCTCTACCACATCCCTCACGCCGAGGACGTGCCTAGCAGCTCCAGCACGGCCACACAGTGCCGCGTCATCCTCCGGCCCTACAACTTCTTCAACCACTGCCCCAGCCTGGCCGTCAGTGACGCGCTACTGGTCAAACGACAAGCCGACGGCCGCCTGGACTTTGACACATTCGGCATTAGCTCGGAGGAGCCACGCTGTTACCAGAGAGAAAAGGAGATGACTGGTTTTTCAGGAACAGTAGACACTTTATCATGATATTATTTTGTTTAATTCTAAATATATATAATAGAGAGAGAAAAAATGACGATTTTTCAAGAACAGGAGACTCCTTCTGTTGTCATTTTATATAATTCTAAATCTTGAAGAACATGGCGATTTTTAGGAACAAGAGATCAGATACTTTATGATGCCATTTTGAATAATTATAAAAGAATAGAAAGAAATGACTTGATTTTCAGGAACAAGAGCCACTTTAGGGAGCCATTTTGAATAATTCTAAATCAAGAAAGAAATGGCTTGATTTTCAAGAACAGTTGACATTTTATTCTGCGTTTTGTATAAAAAATTCTTAAACTAGAGAGAAGGAAGTACGTCATACGTTTATGTTTCCATGATAAACGGAAACTGCAGAGACGTTATTATGGTATGTTCCTAAAACAATGACAAAAAAACTTGATTTGAAGGAACGCTTTATGATGTTATGTTAAATTCCTCTAGGAGGAAAGGAGTTGATTTTCAGGAACAGTAGGTGCTTTACGATGCTATTTTATATTCCTTAAACTATGTGCGTTTGAACATTTTTATATATGTGTGAGTATGTGTGAATGTGTGCGTGGTTGTGAGTGTGTCTGTGTGTAGGTGCGCGTGTATGTATGTGTGTGTGTTTGTATGTCTGTGTGTTTATTTGTCTGTGTTTTAAGTGTGTGTGCGTGCGTGTGTGTGTGTGTG